AAATAGTAGTGGGAAACTGAATTAATGGACAGGTAGCAACCATGAATAACATTAATTTGGAGTAAGATTTGACTTGCAACACAAAATTATGAGCAATAAAAGTAATTTAAAAGTAAAAGTATTTGAGGTAGCTGGTATTAGCTAGTAAAAGAAAAAATAATAATGCACAATAATGTAATAGTAAATAATAATAATGCACAATAATATAATAGTAACATACACTATATGCACCACACGTATGTATGTGTTAAGGACGCTTATCTAATCTGTTTACAGAAATGTCAGCTTTTCTTTAAAGGGAAAGGGAGAGAAATCATGTTCATTTGAGATGGTGTATTGTTGTCCTGTTGAAGTTTTTCTAATTAGTATTTTCCCATCTCGAGTGAAACACTGATGTATTTTGTTTTCCTGTTTAAGTTTTCTCAACCTGAACAGAAGGTTTTGACGTTTTCTTGTTAGACACTCGTTGATGTACACTCCATTTTTCATTGTAATTGCTGATTTAATAAGTCCTTTCTTTTATCATATGAATGAAGTCTGATCATAATACTGTGTTTACTACCTGGTTTTCCTAACAAACATGTTTCTTTGATTTCATTGTTTTGCATGATAACTTGTACATGGTCCTGTATTATCCTGATAGCAGTTTCTTCGCACTGTTCTTGGGTTATGTCACTTGGAATGTGTGGACTGTTTATTATTTATTTATTTATTTATTTATTTTATTTATTTATAATTTGAGCACACTTACAGAGGTACAAAAAATATAACTGCATCAGACAACTTATCTTGTTCAGTTTTGTCGTCTTGGAAATTAAGGTATTCATTCAGTCGAGTGTGCATGTTCTGATTCCAGTCCTTGATTGCTTCTTCAGCCTTCATATTTAGAGTTGTTATTTGCTCAGTGTGACTGGCTATTGTTGTTTTCAGAGGATTTTCTGTGTCAGCACTTCCCGAGGTAATCTTCTCTTCAAGGTTTTGGATCTTGTTCTCGAGGTTGGTTATCTTGGATTCTCGTCGTGCAAGTGTTGCTTTAATATCTTTGATTTCGTTTTCTAGAGCAATGATGTAGTCCCTGATATTGTCAGGAATAATCATACCTGAGTTATCATGGGTGAATCCTTTGAAGAGAGTGGATTTGGAGGGGGAATCAGCCATGTTTGTTGTTATTGTTCTCTGGGTGGTGGTGGTGAGGGGGGTTGATGATACACCAGCGTCCTGCTGGGTAGACAAGTCGAGTTCTAGGGTTCTTGGTGTTATTCTTTTCTTACTGCTGTTGTTTCTTCTGCGATATCCTTTCATAGTATCACTAAAGTAGATACTGTGTAGCTATGGAGGAGAAAGCTTGATTTCTCTGAGCTTGGGTTAAGTGATTGTCTGGCAGCAGAGGCAGTGTTTGGGTTAGCAAGGCTGTCTTCCTTAGATCTTCTATTTTGTCAAGATTTGGGTTACATTCTTAGTATTCTAGGGTCATTTTGTGGTCTACGTGGGTTCATGTAGTTGTACCTTCAATTAGGCCATCACAAGCTTTGATGGGCGATGGTTTCTTGAAGAATAAGAGTTGCTAGGATGCCGGTGCTGTGATATAGGTAAAGAGAATGGTAAGAGAGAAAAGAGTCACATTGTTTGCTGTACAGTAGTCTTTTGAGTTACAATATTAATTCATTCCAGAAGATGTATTATACCTCCAAAGTATCAACTCAAACTCCAAAATATATTGTTTTATGGTAATTCAATCCAGGACCCTGGAAGTGCAACTTACACTGTACCTTGGACATGGATGATCACAGATATAACCTGCAGGCGCTTATCTCCCTTCATTGCTTCTCTTTTATCCACATTAACATCAGTCTTTCCATTTCTATAATAATTTCTCATCCTTTTTCCCTAGCTTAGATTCTTCAGCTACTTTAACCCTTTCAGGGCTGAAACCCCTGATCTGAAACTTGCTCTCAGGGTTGGAGAATTTAGCCCTTTCGCTGTTGGTGCCGTAGTACTACAGCTTGTAAGCCAGTGTTGGTGCCGTAGTATTACAACAAAATTCTAGCGGCTTCATATCTAGTGGGAGAAAGCTGGTAGACCTACATGTGAGAGAATGGGACTGCGTGGTCAGTGTGCACAGTATAAAAAAAATCCTGCAGCTCGCAATGCATAATGAGAAAAAAAACTCTGACCGTGTTTTTGGTTTAAAATGCCGACTTTGAGGTGTATTCTTGTATGGTATTTATGGTTGTATTCTTGTTTTCTTGGCCTCATTTGATAGAATGGAAGATATATTACGGAAATAGAGATGATTTTGATGAAAAGTTCCTTGAAATTGAGCTCTAAGTAGCAGAAATGTTCGGTTTTTGCCAATGTTCGAGAGTAAACAAATGACGTGACCGTCCAATGTGTCCAACTGGCCAGCCTAATGCACAGTCACAAATGGGTTGACATTATTTATACAATTGTTACAATAATGCAGTAGTTTGTGTAACAGTAAATCTTCTATTTTTTGTGTGAATTAAAATTCAGAATGGAAAGCAAGAGTAATATAAGAGGAGCTTGTAGACATGACTAATGAACAGAGAAAATGTTATTTTGGTGCCAGGAATGTCTGCATTGTTTATTCTGGACCCTATTTTGAAATCGGCATCTTTTGAAATTTGTGTGAAATTGGCCAAATTGCCAGTTTCTGACCACTTTAATGTGTATTTGAAATTGGTAAATGGGCAGTTACTTGTACTCAATCAATAGAACAAATGGAGTTCTAGTGAAATGGCTATGAGTTTGACTGACTGGAGCAATAGAATTGGCTGAAAATATAGTGCTGAAAGCGGGCAAAATCACCGATGACCGCTAACTTTGCGAGAGCGTAATTCTTTAAGTTTTCCATCAAATTTCGTATTTTTGGTGTCATTATCATAGGGAAAAGATTCTCTATCATTTCATAAAAAAATATTTTTTCTTTTTTTGAAAATTCTCCGACACTGAGAGCAAGTTTGTGAGCAGGGGTCTCGACAGTGAAAGGGTTAAACCTTTATAGTGTGTTATTTTGACGGAATTCAGCTGTTAGTATCATGAAACTGCAATAAATTTGTAATGAATAAGTTATGTTCCTGGCAGTTGCACACCATGTTTGCTGTAGGGAAGCTGGTGGTGGAACAGCAGCTCCTGGTTTCGTTGTTTACTTGTGCTAGTTAGGCAGTGTTACCCCATGATGTACTGCAAGGACTCTTCTAGTCTTAGATTTTTTTAAAAAGAACAAAGATGCTCTAGGAGATGCAAACAGTTCTGCTTAGGTCAAAAATATTGATGGGTGGTGTATTTTCAGGTAGGGAAAATTATGTGCTACTACTGTGTGTGACACATCCTCATCACCTACATGCTATTACTTTGAACACAGTTAAGGGGTTAAACACTGCAGCATGGAGGAGGCTGGACAGAACAGAGATGTCATGTTTTCAACAGTGTATGCTGTGAATGTTATGCAGGAAATTCAAAGCATAGAAATTAGGAGATGTACAGTTATCAGTGGTGTAATTCAGAGGTCTGTAGACAGGTTGTTGTAGTGGCTTGGGATTTTAGAGAGGATGGAGCAGAATAGGATAAACAAGAGAATGTATAATTCTGGGGTGGAATTCTGGTTGGAGGAATGGGGGTAAAGGTTTCGAGTGCTGGAGGCTTGAGCATTTTTGTAGGTTTGTCTGGGTGCATTAGATCAGACTGACTGGAGAAAAGTGGTTTTTATGGCTTAATGTGGTGTTGGAGTATGAGCAAGGTAACATTGTGAAGAGATTCAGTGGAAACTGGTTATCTGGACTTAATACATGGCATCATCCATCAACTGTTCACCTGGAGTTTACCTCTCCAGGTAAACTCCAGGTGAACAGTACAGTATCTGCACTTTGAAGGAAGGGTGGACATGTTGCAGATTGGAGGGTAATTTTAATTGAGATGTTTGCAGTTCTGGTGAGGGAGCTATTGGATGAATGATGATAGATGTGTTTCCTTCATATGAGTCACCCTACCTTGGTGAAAGAGAGTCAGTGTGTTAACCCTTTCACTGTTGACTCCCCCTCAAATTGAAAACCCTCTTCTGTATTGGCATTTATAAAAAATATATATATATATTTTTTTATCTACAAAGGTAGAGAATCTTTCTCTAAGGTAATTACCCCCAAAAATGCTACATTTGATATAATACAGAATTATGAAAGTGGGAAGTGGAGGCAAGGGAACATTTTACACTACAGTGATTTTGACCAATTTCAGGCCTATTTTATGCATATTCCTGTGATCAAACTGACGCAGTTGATAACTTTACTTTGCTATTATTCCTTCCAACCTATATCCATTGATTGCAAGAAACTGTCCATTCAACCATCAAAATGGCCAGTTTTACTCAACAGTATTTTTAGCTAATTCTAATTTGAAAACAGCCCAAAACAAGCACACTGCATATTGGTTCATTTGCGGTCATGGTGGGGCTCATGCTAACCTTCTTAAGATTGTACAGTAATACACCTACTTGGCTGAATCGTATTAAACCATCATGGTCCAGTGATAATGCATTGGCCTGCTAGTTCTAGGAATGGCTTATCATAGGTTCAGATCCTTCGTTTGGTGAGATGTAAGAAGGTATTTCTTCAGCCTTAGCATGGCCAGAAATACAACCCAGACAATAAAGTGATAAAGTTGGGGTCCATACATATCTTTGAGAAGAGGTTACAATACGGCTCTCAAAGCCAGGAGTTAACCCTTCAGTGGCCATTGAAAATGTGGGACCAAAAGCTGGAACTCAACCCCTTCAACCACACACATAGGTGAGTACATAGAGGTGAGTACACATGCACACATCATGATTGATGCAGGGGACATAAACCTAGTATATATACACGAGTATAAATACTCACAAATTCATGACTGATGCAGGTGACACATTAGGTGAGTATATCTTCGTGCGTACACACATACATACATCTGCTTGTGGTTGATACAGGTTTTCCATCTTTCCTCAGCCACGAGGGGACAGATACGCCATCTGGTTCAGAGGATGTACAGATCATCATGAGCAGCTTCAAGTCACACGTAGTCAAGGTACGTGTTGCAAAGAAGCCTGGGAAGCAGAATATGCAACTTTTATCCGATGATAATGAAGAAAGTGGCAGCCTCTGGAATTCTATAACAAGGTGCGTAGAAATGCTTAAACTGTTGTGTAATAGTTGTTCTTATTTGAGAATGTGGTTATGCCTGCAAGGTTTCTGCCTAGTGTTCTTTTATTGTAACTTCTTTGTACTTTTATTGTGTGCTGCATTTAAAGATGGCAATTAGGTGTCGACTGGCTTAATGCCAGGGTATGATATCTTGCATTATACACTGGCACTGTTGCTTTCATCGTTGGTGGTATAGTTGGTTTCTTAAGCATTCTTGAAGGGTCAAGAGTGCCCTGGGGCTGGGCAAGGATCAAGACTGTCTTGGGGCTGGTTAAGTTCACAAGCATGTGCCTCTCAAAGTTTCTATCTGACAGGGTGGCTGTCTTGGCCCTGAAGATATCTTTGCCTATAGAGAATAGGCACTCAACTGCAGCACTAGATGGGTTGGTGGTGTTGTACTTAATGCTTCAACCACAGCTGCTGCAGACTCCTCAGTAACACCCTCAAGCAGAACAGAAACGTCTCCCCTGTTCATAATGATAAGTGACAATGCACGCCGGTGATCACTGACACTGTAAGACTTGAACAATGCTGCTCAGATGCTGATGCTGTGTTAACAAGTCACATTTACATGTAGTCAGCCAATGGCATGTCTGGCTGACTGTTGGAGAAACGGTTACAACAGACAGGAACAAACACGTACGCCGTTGAAAAGGCATTGCTTTCCGACTACCAACAGCAAATGAATTTTTTTTAGCAGACTCAAAGTTAGCGGAACTTTATTTAGCGGAAGCTAATTGGTCTGCTAACGTTTTCTGAAATTAGCAGAAGCGCTAATCCACTAAACAAAAAGTTAATTCTGCTAATTAGTGGTTAGCAGATTAGTGGAACTGTGCCCACCACTGCCAGTGGGCAACGGAAAACAATATGATGTTCAATGAAGACAAATTCCAACTACTCTGTTATGGAAAACTGGAGGAGATAATAACTAGAACAGAGTATACTACAAACTCTGATCATACAATACAGCGGAAAAATACTAATGTGAGGGACCCGAGAGTGGTAATGTCTGAGGATCTCACTTTCAAGGATAACAACAGTGCCATGATCACAATTGCAAAGGAAATGATAGGATGGGTAATGAGAACGTTCAAAACAATAGATGCCAAACCAATGATGATCTTTTTCAAATCACTTGTTCTCTCTAAGCTGGAATGTTGCTGCACATTAGCATCTCCATTCAAAGCAGGTGAAATTGCAGATATAGAGAGTATACAGAGAACCTTTACCTCACATGTAAGTTCTATCAAATGCAGGGGAGAGAGATATATCATAATCTACACTTGGAAATTCCTAGAAGGGATGGTCCTGAATCTGCACACAGAAATCACTCCTTATGAAAGTAAAAGACTTGACATGCGATGGAACACTAAGAAAAAACACCATAAGTGTCTGGGGCCCAAGACTGTTCAATAGCCTCCCACCAGGCATAAAGGGAATTACCAATAGGCCCCTGGCTGCCTTCAAGAGGGAACTGGACAGATACTTAAAGTCGGCGCTGAATCAGCCAGGCTGTGGTTCGTACGTTGGACTATGTGCAGCCAGCAGTAACAGCCTGGTTGATCAGGCCCAGATCCACTGGGAGGCTTGGTCGTGGACCAGGCCATTGGGGCGTTGATTGCCGGAATACCCTCCAGGTAGACTCCAGGGAGGTAGAGAGACGACCACCTACCACCACCTCCAACCACCACCTATTACCACCTACCACCACCCACCACAACCTTCACCTACCACCACCTTCACCTATCACCACCTTCACCTACCACCACCTTCACCACCTACCACCACCTTCACCACCTACCACCACTATCACCACCTACCACCACTATCACCACCTTCACCACCTACCACCACCTTCACCATGTACCACCACTATCACCACCATCACCACCTACCACCACCATCACCACCTATCACCACCATCACCACCTACCACCACCATCACCAGCTATCACTGCCTTCACCACCACCAACTACCACCTTCACCACCACCTACCACTACCACCATCAACTACCACCACCACCTACAACCACCACCTACAACCACCACTCTCCCACCACCACCTCCCACCACCACTCCCACCCCACCACCCCACCACCACCACCTACCACCACCACCTACCACCACCACCACCACCACCTACCACCACCACCTACCACCACCACCTACCACCACCCACCACCACCACCACCACCACCACCTACCACCAACCATCTACCACTGCCACCTAACTGCTACCACTACCTACTGCCACCATATACAGCTAACCACCATCACCAACCACCACCACCATCACCTACTACCACCACCACCTACCACCATCACCTACTACCACCACCACCTACCACCATCACCACCTACCACCATCACCACCTACCAACACTATGTACCACCATTGCAACCTACCACCAAAATCACCACCTACAGCAACCACCACTATCACCCATCACCACCACCTACCACCACCACCATCACTGCCTTCACCACCACCAACTACCACCTTCACCACCACCTACCACTACCACCATCAACTACCACCACCACCTACAACCACCACCTCCCACCACCACCACCTACCACCACCACCTACCACCACCACCTACCACCACCACCACCACCACCTAACCACCACACCACCTACCACCACCACCTACCACCACCACCTACCACCACCACCTACCACCACCTACCACCACCACCACCTACCACCACCATCTACCACTGCCACCTACTGCTACCACTACCTACTGCCACCATATACAACTACCACCATCACCAACCACCATCACCTACTACCACCATCACCTACTACCACCACCACCTACCACCATCACCACCTACCACCATCACCACCTACCAACACTATGTACCACCATTGCAACCTACCACCAAAATCACCACCTACAGCAACCACCACTATCACCCATCACCACCACCTACCACCACCACCTACTGCCACCACCTACCACCACCACCTGCCACCACCACCTACCACTACCACCAACTACCACTACCAACATGATCTCTTACCACCTACCACCAGTCACCATCTACCTTCACTACCACCACCTACCACTACCATTACTACCTGCCACTCCCACCACCTACCATCACCACCACCTATCATCACCACCACCTACCACTACCACCACCACCACCTGCCACTAGCACCATTACCACCTACCACCACCACCTACCACCATCATTACCTACCACCACCACCATCGCTATCATCACCACCACACTACCATCACCTACCACTACCATCACTACCTACCACCACCATCACCTACCACCACCATCTCCCAACCACCACCACCATCTCCAACCACCACCATCTCCAACCACCACCATCTCCAACCACCACCTACCAACACCTCTAACCACCACCATTATCACCACCACCTACCACCACCACCACCACAACCTGTTACCCCCACCACACCCCACCTACTACCCCACCACCTACTACCCCCACCACCTACTACCCCCACCACCTACTACCCCCACCACCTACTACCCCACCACCTACTACCACCACCACCACCTATCACCACCACCTACCACCACCTACCCCACCACCATCACCACCATCACTACCACCACCACCATAACCACCTACCACTACCACCATCACCACCATCACTACCACCACCACCATAACCACCTACCACTACCACCACCTCCAACCACCACCTATGACACTTCCAACCACCACCTACCACCACCACTACCACCCACCCCACCACCACCTACCACCCACCCCCACCACTACCTACCACTACCATCACTTCCTACCACTTCCACCACCATCACCACCTACCACCTCCTACCACTACTGTCACCAACTGCTATCACCACATCACACTACCACCTACCACCACCTCCAACAACCACCACCACCTACCACCACCACCCTACCACCACCACCTACCACCACCACTACCACCACCACTACCACCACCCCCAACCACCTCCAACCACCACCTACCACCACCACAATCACCACCCATCACCACTGCCTACCACTACCATCACTACCATGACCACCACCACCATCACCACCAATGCCACCATCATCACCATCTACCACCACCTACCACCACTACTGCCACTTACCACTACCACCACCTACAACACCTCCAACCACCATACCCCCGGTCGGGATTGAACCTGCGGCCACCACCATTATCACCACCACCTACCACCACCATCTACTACTACCACCACCTATCATCAACACCACCTCCCACCACCACCACCTACCCACTATGATCACCTACCACTACCATCGCCACCACCGCCTACCACCTCCAACTACCTATGACCACCAACCACCACCACCTACCACTATCATCACTACTTACCACTTCCACCACCACCACCTACTACCACCACCACCACCATCACCACCTACTACCACACCACCTACCACCACTCCCACCCTACTACCACCACCACCTGCTACTGCCACCACCTGCTACTGCCACCACCTGCTACCACCACCACCTGCTACCACCACCCCCACCTACTACCACCACCACTTACTACCACCACCACCTACTACCACCACCACCTACTACCACCACCACCTACCACCAACACATACCACCACCACCACCTACCACCACCCCCTACCACTACTACCTACCACTACCACCACCATCACCTACCACCACTGTGTACCACCATCACCTACCACCACCACCACCACCATCACCACCACTTAAAATCACCATCACCACTGCTTAAAATCACCACCATCACCACCACTAAAAACCACTACCACCATCACCACCATTTAAAACCACCACCACCACCATCTACCGCCACCATACCAATTCCATTTTTTTAAATTTTGACATACACTTATAACAAGCAGAAATTCAGGTAAGAATTATTGATGTAAACTTGGATAATAGACCTGTTGTGGCAGCAGTGACTCCACAATATCCACCACCATAACTGTTTTATT